ATCTATCATCTCCATTACTTTGTTTGGTGTAAACTCACCTTTTCAGCCATGAGACATTATAATGTGTCGGTTAATCGCGCTATTCATTGGTAGAGTAGCCCAAGAGTTGACAGTGGGGTGGGTATTGACTAGCCAACTTCCTTCTACTTCTAGTCTTATCACTTAATTAGAGACAGCTAGCACAAGAAAGCCCTTGAGTAGCTTTGCACAAAATTCCACAAAACAAACAATTTTTATTCAGTCCCTTAAAGTTTTTACGAAAAAGAGTGTAAAATATCATTTCAACCACACCATGTCCAGCATATCCATTGATGATGGTATTGATGAGCTCCATACACCAGAGCTCATCAGGATGGCTACGATGTCAGATGAAAGAAGCTCTTGCTAGTTATGAACCTGAGGAAGAGCCAATCATTGCTGCAAAGTAACAGTTCAAAAACTGTTTTCTTATGTCATAATGAAATGTAGGGAAGTTTGGAGAGAGGTTTGAGTTGCTACATGTTACATCAAAGTAAATAAAAATGTAAAACACAATGAAATAGTACAATCATGCATGGGTTTAGTTGTAGTACAATCCAGAGTTGAAATCAAACCCCGTATTTTAACATTGTATCTCTGTAAACTTACTGCTGCCCCACTGGGGGGGACCTATTTCTTTGTAAAGTTTTAATATAATCACCTTATGACAATAGTATTGATTAGAAACAGAGGTAACTGTTTGGAAGTTGACTATTACCACAAAAATACCAGTTTATATTTTAATTTTGAAGTCTTTATTCCAAGTAGCTTTATTCAAAGAACTTAGGTTTCATTCTAATTTCCATAGGGTTTTTATGTAATGTTGTGTATTATTAAAATGAACTAATGAAAATCAGTGTAGTGGCTTTCCATTGAAATTCATAAATGGTGTAATCAAGAAATACAGCACCAATACTGTACTTTATAACATACAATGTTGCCTGCTGACCTTCGTTCTATTGCATCTAGACAGACGTACCAGCAACTTAAAAAAATGTACGAAAATGTTATACACATAATTATTTTAAAACCACAACTACGAATTCAGTTTATTGTGTTTTTTTAGTTAAGGATAGAATTTGTGTTCTAAAACAGTCACACGTTGTCTATATGTATAAATGTTCTTGATATGAACATAGGTTCAACTGCTAGAATCTTTGAAACATGCACAAGAAACAAAAGGTTTCCCCATCTAAATCCTAAGGCTTATGTAGTTCCAAGTAGTCAACTAACACTTCAAGATAACAGAATGTAGTCTTGATGAGGAAACACTTTAGATAAAGGAGTTTTTATATAGTAAACTACTTCAACCAAGCCTGAATATCAATATGGGTGTTTTGTTGTTAAAATTGAAACCGTGAGTCATTATTTTCAAATTATGAGACTTATGAAGTCCATTCTGTAAATAAAATATCTGCAAATATCACACTAAACTGAAGATACTGATTATGTAATACACTGGATAACCAGACCTTTAAGATTCAGGCCATCTCTTATTTATAACTGTTGACCAGAGGGAAGTTGATCAATTACCACTACCCACTGCTTACATTGTTATCCTAAATATAATAGCAGAATTGACTACCACATTTAGAATGTCCTCAGAGCAACCCACTGGGCTAAGTCAACATTTTAACACAAGGAATAAAAATAAATTTACTTTAATAAAATAAAGACAAAGGCAAAAAAAAAGCATCACAATAAATATGTATAATATAACTTTATAAAAACAATATCTTACAACAACAGAAATAACTATTGTACAATAAAGCATGTGTCACATGAATCAAACCAAAAACATTCACTAAGTTGGTCAAAAAACAAGATTAACGTGGTTGAGTGAGCATTAAGCCTATCCTTCCTTTTCTGATGTCCAGATTTACAATCTTTACAGTCACCCTGTCTCCTAGGGCAACATTTTTATTACGAAGATTACTGATATGAATCATACCATCCCTCCCTACACCCAGATCTACAAAGGCTCCAAAGTGAGTAACACTTTTAACACGGCCAGTTAGTACCTGACCAAGCTGAAGTTGATCCATGGACATGACACCTTTTCTGAACACTGGCTTTTCAAATTCTACAAAAAAAAAAAAGAAGAAGTTTTTTGTAAGTCCAGTTTTCTAATTAGTAATTAGAAATGAAAATCCTGTAATAACAACATATTACATGAAAATTATAAACATTTAACTGCTTTGAAAAACCATATTAACTGAAAAGTTTGTTTGTTTGTTATTGATCAAAAGCTACACAATAGACTATCCGTGACCTACTCACCACACTTATTGAAATCTAATTGTTAGCAATATAAGCCTTTAGACTCACCCCTGAACCACCAGATGGCGAACTGAAAAGAACTTTCGGTTTATATCTTGATAATTATTTATTTGATTTGATATCAAGAAAGTTTTATGGGATTATGGCTGAAAATATAAATAATAGTAAAGGAATCCAAATGGCAATTCAATCATTTCTAATTATAGAGTTTGTTTTTTGTGGATTCTTCTATGACATACATGTAGGTTGATATACAGCATTGTCTTTACTTTTTTATTTATCTATCTGGTAAGCTTACTTTTGTCTATTATTTTTAGACACTGTTATTTTTTAAACATAGTATTTAAAACACAAAGGAATGATTTTTGCTGGTGAAGCATGAATATAATCAATTGTATTTGTCATAAGACAATAAGTAGTATTAAATCTTTTTTATTGTTGGCATGGCCCGGTGGTAAGGTTCCTTGACTTGTAATCTGCATGTTGTGGGTTTGAATCCCATCATCAAATGTTATATACTCTGCCTAAACAATCTATCATGGAAATCATAGAGATTTATTTATTTAACAGTTCGGTATGATGTGTTTGTACAAATTAATCTAGTCATCAGGAAAATTCTGAGCTCAACTCTGAGAAATTTAATAGTACTAGAAATGTATTGAATGTTGTACGACAAACTCTTCTCTGGTATAGAGAAACGGTTTGGGAGGTACAATGACAAGCTCTGAAAGACTGGCAGAAGAATTAACAGTTGTTCGAGAATTACCAGAGACTCGAACATAACATTGCAATGGTCAAAAACATTTGGTTACTTTAAATAATGTATATCATTCTTGTAAAAGTCCGAACGCAAGAGTGTGCAACCTAGGATGTTGCACTTAAACAAAATGATCCTTGTGGTTGTCATTATTTGAACCTTGTACTACATAACATTGTAATGGTCAAAAACATTTGGTTACTTTAAATAATGTATATCATTCTTGCCTTCAGTTATAGATGGGCTATTTTGAAGTCAGTGTTACTTTCATATTCCGTTTCTGAAACTAGGTGGGAGTTTAAAAGTGGTAAGATATCAAACTAAAGGTATAGTAGCAGATTAACGAAACTGAAGGAAACTACAATGGAAAGTTCAGCCTATTCTAAAATTGATTCATCAAGAGACGAGCCAACATCATACAGATTATCACGATGAGTACACTGGAACAGATGGTGACTGCCTGTTGTATAAGTGTAGAGAACGATGTTTTGAAAGTCTTCACATCCTCTGAAGACAGAAGACTTTTGAAACGGTGTCCTTTACACTTGTATTTTTGCTACAACAGGCAGTCACCACCCATTCCAGTGTACTTATCGAATAAGTCTTAAACCTGTTTAATTTTCACTTATTTTCAACCTGAAATCCAAATTTGCAATTTCATAAAAAATTATGTGTATAAAATTAAATGACTAAACATTTTTACTGAATAAACTTCAACTCTGAATTATCAAAAACAAAATGTGAAGAAGAACAACTACATTTGGTCTTCTATACATTTTTAATTTAATGGTGCAATTTTATCCTTGGGTAATAGAGGCATCAAAGTGTTAAAGACCATTTAACATTGTAAAGATAATCAGTCTTGAAATTACATTCGTTCCAGCATCAAGAAAGCTATTATAGGTAAACATACCTGCTAATACAGCTAAAAACCCTCAGCAGATATATATACAGCTCAAAATCTCTAGAGGATAGCTATAATGTTTAGGTGACGGTTTTATGATATCTGATATCCAAACTGCTACTAAAAGCCTTGGAGAAATGACATGATATCATATAAAAAATGTAATTAAAATGGACTTACGAGTATTTCAATATCCCCTCTAGCTTATTGGTCCAGATAATTACTTGCTTATCTGCTGATCCAGAGGCAAATCGTTTTCCATCCTTCGCATAACATACACAATATACTATATCCTTGTGGCCTTTTAGTGGCTGGACTAAAGACCCATCATTGGTGTCATAAACTAAAACCCGAGTCCCTGCTGCAACTATCAACTGGGTTCCATCAGGCTTAAAAGTCAAGTCATAAACACTGTATAAAATTTAAAATATATATATATATTGTGTGTTATTTGTTTCATACACAATGAATTAAAACATTACATTCTCTGATAAACAACTTCTTAATACATTGTACATCATTTGAAAAATTATTTCTATTTTCAAAGTTACCATTGGGTAAAAAAATAAGCCTAATTTGTAATGAAAATGCTTAATCTCTGTCATTTCACCACACTTAAACATGAGACCATTTATTTGAAGTGATTTACAATATTTAAAACCTTACTATTACATAACTTTTTTAAAGATATATTAAAAATTACATGTTAGCTATTTTAAACATGAAAGTGCCTAATGATTAGTTGTGCATTTTATTGCAGGAAGTACATTGAACATATTGAAAGTTATTATAGCACTAACACTAAAGTTTTGCATCTTCGAATGAAGTTGGGATTAAGTCAGAACTAAGAGCAGACAGGAGAAGAAACATAAGGCATCTGATTATATTTACATACAGATATTTAAGACAACAAAAATAATGTTTATTGAATCTATTAAATGTGGTAAGGTACTAGAAGATTAAAGATTAGCAAATATTACACTCATTTTTAAGGGTGGGAGTAGAAAATATCCAAGTAATTGTTATCCAGTTAGTCTTACTCTAGTGGTTGGGAAAGTAGCAATAGCATATTGTAGAATTAAAGAAATTCTACAAGAAACGTTTCACATTACCAAACAGTTAGCTTGGATCTAAAAAGAAATGTTTGTGTTTTATGAATTTACTGATATTCTATAGAAACGTTCCTGTAATCTGTGCTGGGTTATGAGTGGTCTTGGGTGTCACATAAGTTTCGTAGAAAGATTCTATCTGTTGGGGAATAAGTTAAGTGGATTAGGTTAGGTAGAAGAAGGTTGTTATAAATGGGACAAAGTAAGAGTGGTCTAATGTTAGAAGTGGTATACCTCAAGGTTCTGTGCTAGATACTTTGGTATATCTCATTTTCATTAATGAAATTGACGATGGAACAGTAAATTGTTTAAATTTGCAGTTAATATTAAATTAAAGAGCATTTTAAGTTGTACTAAAGATATTAATGTTTTCAGAGACATCGACTGAGGTAATCTGGGTTAACAATGTCAGATAACCTCAGTAAAAGTATGGTCAAGCATATCAGTCATCACAGCATTAATTACTGTTATAGTCTTGCTGGAGAAACTAGATGAAATTTATGAAGAAAAAATCTAGGCATAGCTATTACAGAGTCTCTTAAAGCCTTGCAGACAGTATACAATAGATAGCAGCATGACAAAAAGGATTTAAGGTTATATACATATTTGTTGTAAAGGGTGTGGTATTATCATATTAAACTGATTTTTTGCAAAGACTAAAAGTGAAATAGCATTATAAGTATTAGGAAAGTCCACTTCTAAGAGGAGGATTGGCAGAATAAATTACGAAGTTATACTGAATTAAGTCAACCTGTGGAACTAACAGTATTACTGTTACTATGTGTAAAACACTTTCGTTATTATTAGGTGGGCTGGATTTTGCATTCTTTTGTACTGAATAATCCAACAATAGAATTAGAAAGCGTTTCAATAACTGCTTTGCCCGTTCTGAAGCACAGAATTTGCTTTACTTACCACTGCTCAACATTTTCTTTATCATGAACCTTATCAACCCAACAAGGAACTGATCTCATTCCGGCGCTAAAAATGGAACTTGTAGGTTTGTGATCAGCGTATTTATGGTTACTATGAGTATGATTAGTCCTTTTTAATTTTTGTCTAAGCCGTAACTCTCGTTGTTGACATCTTATCGTTTGCACAGCGTCTCTAGCTGAAGAAAAAACAGGAAAAAACATCAAATTCATTAACTATCAAACTTAAATTACAGTTTATGTATAATAACAATTACTATAATTAACATATAGAAACTAAGTTTGTTGTATACGTTAAAACTAAAATACTTGTAAACTACTCACACTAAGCCTTGACACAGACGTTTCTCTTTATTTACACACAACTATTCGAGAAGTATAGTGGTGCTCTCTGCCGTCTAGTAATATTCGTAATAAGGAGAGAGAGAGAAAATATATAAACTGGGTCAATCTATGTTACGGTTCGAATGCCGAAAACTGTCAAAACATTAAAACAATTAGGTATTAAATGTGGGACAAAAATCACGTTAACTGCAGATTTTCCTTCCACATTTCTTTTAATTAATTCGTTGTGGTTTCAAATCAGGAGATGAGATCTATCTTTTGCAAATCGCTACCCAAATTATATATTTATATATATTCACCAAATAAGGTTTTAGTTGTTTGTTGTTAAGCAAAAAACTACACAACTGGCTATCTGTACTCTGCTCAGTGCGAGCACAGAAACCCGATTTAAGTATTATAAACCCTCATACTTACCGCTGAACCATCGGAGTAAGGTATAAGCCCAATTTGAAAAAGATACTGGTGACGTTATATTTTTGGCGCGGGTTGGCCCTACGACAGAACTCCGGATTTCGAAGTTAGTAGCTTTATGTGATACTAAGCTGTTGTTATGTAATAACAACGACAGCCAGTTCTTCAACATGGTCAGTAGTTGAAAATAAGGAACGGCTGCAGATACATTTAGTAGCTTTGCCACGAAAATACAAATAGGAAAGTTTTTTTTTTCCGACAAGTTTCCTAAGTCTCACAAGTCTTAGTGAAAATATTTAATACTATCGCGTATTTAAGAATTATTATCCTTTGAATAACTCAATAATCTTTTTTTTTGTTTTGTTTTCGGCGATGAAAACATAAAGTATATAACTTTACGTAATTGTAAATTATTTTATTTAACATTTTTTAAAGCTCAGCATCAATAAAAATTTTGAAAATGTATCAAAATAAAAAGCAGTAATAGTTGAATGTTTGTAACTTAATGCAGTTTTCACACGATCAGGTAATTTTATATGTTTAAACTTTCTTAACATTAAAGAAACCAGAGGGAGTCCTCAATAGCCGCGGCTATAATTAGATCTCGAATCGCCAAGAGATGGAACTATGAGCTCAAACTTTGTACTTGAAAAAAAGAATTGTTTGTTTGAAGTTAAGCACAAAGCTACACAATGGGCTATCTGTGCTCTGCCCACCACGGGTATCGAATCCGTTCTAGCGTTGTAAGTCCGCAGACATACCGCTGTGCCACTGGGGGGGGGGGCATTGAAAAAAAACACAAACAAACTCAGAGCCATTGTATGAGCCGCTATGCCGCGGCTAAAAATAAAATAATATGAAAATGGCCGCCGTCAGTATCCTGCACTCCTGTTATAACAGAAAGCTAGAGCCTTTATTACCTATTGGTACTTCTATCATGTCAAAGATTTTGAGCTATTTTGTTTCAGTCAAATACTTATATCATTAATTACTATATTTAATTTACTATTTATTAATCATAGACTTACCTACCCATCTATGACAGTTGATACTAATTCCCTACAACAAAGGGTAATCGCCAATTCAATTTTATTTTGAAATAACATTCTAATAACGAGTTATTCCCATTAAAACTTCCATGTTTTTATTTAAGGTACGGTATAATTATTTTGCATAAGCACCCTAGAATCCACACAACCATAACCGTATATACAGGTTAAATCACTTTGCTTACATTTTTTACTTTTGGTGGAACTAATGGCAAGGTTTGATATTATAATGAACGAACCCTTTTGCAGGTTCATAAACAATGAAGCAAGTCGTCATTATTGAAGCTATAAAGTTGAGAATGAGCTAAAACAGATGCTCTTAAAATAAGTCATTAATGTAACCATTCCAAATATTAAATGTGTAAAGTACTGTTCTCCTGATGTAATTCACAAAGAATAGTTGTTGGTAAATTTAAAAACGATGAATATAAAAAAAGAAAAAATTTCGTAGAAAATTGCATTTATTTGTAAAGATAGCTCATTTTTGAAAAGCTTACGAAACATGGAGTACCATTCAAAGATTGCCAAGGTTAGGGTTATGAAAACAGTGCAAATATAAAAGTCCGAACGCAAGAGTGTGCAACCTAGGATGTTGCACTTAAACAAAATGATCCTTGTGGTTGTCATTATTTGAACCTTGTACAACATAACATTGCAATGGTCAAAAACATTTGGTTACTTTAAATAATGTATATCATTCTTAAACAAAATGATCCTTGTGGTTGTCATTATTTGAACCTTGTACAACATAACATTGTAATGGTCAAAAACATTTGGTTACTTTAAATAATGTATATCATTCTTAAACAAAATGATCCTTGTGGTTGTCATTATTTGAACCTTGTACAAACTTTCTGATTAACACTTAAGAAGGTCAGCTTGCTGATAATTTTGGTAAAACTTTATTGTACATCAGTGATTGGAAACACAGCAAAACATTGTATATTATTTTTAATCAAGACAAAATTCACAGTTTTATAAAGTAGAAACTGTTGGAAAGATTTTCTAGAATGTAGAAAGACATAAAAATCAGTAATTGAAATTTAAACAAAGGTAAGGATTTTTGTTTCTTAAATAACGTAGCTTTGTACTCTATATAATTATAACTTAAATTGGATTTAACTTGTTTTTAGATATATTTTTTTACTGTCTTATCTTTCTAGTTGATTGTTTTCTCTCTCACATAAGGTTAATTTACAAACGCATATTTTCTACGTTCAGAAAGCACTATATGAATTACACTGACTTGTTCTTTAAAAAAAAAGAATAACAGGAATATTGCTTCAATAGATGTAGACAAAAGAAATGAATAAATGGAAGTTGATACCTAAAATATAGACTTACCAAAATCTGAACATGCACAGCTAATTAGCTGATGAGATATTGGGTTATAAGCAAGGCACTGAATTGCATCATGGTGTCTGGAATAAAGTAATCAGTTGTTGTCAACTAAAGGATGTACTAGATAATGAAGTTCTGAGTCCTTTAATCACCACATTATCTCAAACTCTTACCTAATATATCTTTCAAATAAGTGATTTCATGTTAAAAAAGTAAATGATTCATCAAAACAGACTTGTATCTATTGCATGTGTTTGTACAAAAGTACATTACATATAGAGTCTAAAGTATTTTTCTGTTGTATGAGACTTAGAAGCCCATTTGTTCCAAGACTGGTCACTCTCTCCAAGTCTTGTCTTTCTGTATTATAAAAATGCAGACATGAAATTCTTCAAACTCTAAATAATTATCAATGATAACAAAAAACAAAAATACAAGTTACAAACATATTTCCACAATTCACTCATTAAAATGTTACCTAACTTTCAAAATCATTCAATATTTTCACAACAGTAACCGTTTTCTGACCCAAAATATTATTAATTAATAAGATATTTATTTCGACACACTTTACATTCTTGACAAATCTAAGTCTATTGGTCATTAAATGTGCTACAAAGTTTGTAACCCTGAACTTTTAAATGTATGGAACATTGATTCCGTGCATCTGTTATATGGTTTGTCACACTGCAAAAAACAACTACTGGATGAAAGTTTTTAAACTTGACATCAACTTACTATGGATTATGTAGCTTCTGTACAAAAAAATACTTTTTTGTTATATCCGTGACAATTCTGACTTTAGGAATTCAAATACATTTTATTGTGAAATTTTGAAATATATCAGATATATCAAGCATTTTTCTCCTCTGTATGGTTTCTAATTTTGTTTATGGTATACATGATTTCTATATTTTCTGTATTCAATTACTATTTACATTTAGGAATGTAAATTACTCCAATTTTAACCAAATTAGTTATGTTTACCTAAAGCTGAGCAGAAAAACCTGATATTATCAACAAGTTACTATCAATCCTGAATAGACAAATTTAATTATTACAAAAAAAAGAAATTAAATTAAACATATAAAAAAATACACTGATTGCATGTACATTTTGTACACACATCAGAAGCACTAATTTCAAATAGTTGTAATTTGATCATCCACTAAAGACGTGTGTTACTATTTTCATCTATTTATGTTAAAGTACAATTAAAAGTATGATAATACACTTGTAGGTTTTCTTTCTAACTGTTTTATAAACCTTTCATAGCTATGCAGCATGAGAACAGAGCACCATATTGTTGAATGCAAAGCAGACCTCAATTAATTGATGGCTTTGTTTGTCACTGTGATGTCATGTTCTCATAGTGCATCAATACACAGAAATTTTCCATTATACCCTGTTTCGTATTGAGATGGACCCACTAATCATGCCAAGTGCCAGATGAAGTCCATCGCTTGTCCAGCTGCAGCATGTGATCCTGCTCGTTACACGATGCTTGGACACAGACTTCTGTTCTTGAGACCAGAGTCCTAATCCAGAGAAAGGGATAAACACCAGAATTAAATTCGATGGAAGTAAACTTTTTTCGGGTGGTTTTATTTCCAACAATATTTCTTAGGCCTGAACCATTGCATTCATATTAATCTTAAACCCCACTAGAAAGCAAACGACAATTCATATAAAAACAAAACTGACATTTTAATAATATGTAGTATTGTATGAGGAGCTGAAATACAATCCAAGGCAGGTTTGTCAGTAAAACAAATGTAAAGAAGAACACTACAAAGTAACTACGAAATAAACGTGAGAATAATAAATGCATGTAAATTAATCAGAAGAGGAACACAACAAAGTAACTATGAAATAAATGTGAGAATAATAAACGAATGTAACATTATCAGAAGACGAACACAACAAAGTAACTACGAAATAAACGTGATAATAATGAATAAATGTAACTTAATCAGAAGAGGAACACAACAAAGTAACTACGAATTAAATGTGAGAATAATAAACGCATGTAAGTTAATCAGAAGAGGAACACAACAAAGTAACTACGAATTAAACGTGAGAATAATAAACGCATGTAAGTTAATCAGAAGAGGAACACAACAAAGTAACTACGAATTAAACGTGAGAATAATAAACAAATGTAACATTATCAGAAGAGGAACACAACAAAGTAACTACGAATTAAACGTGAGAATAATAAACGCATGTAACATTATCAGAAGAGAAACACAACAAAGTAACTACGAAATAAACGTGAGAATAATAAACGCATGTAAGTTAATCAGAAGAGGAACACAACAAAGTAACTATGAAATAAACGTGAGAATAATAAATGCATGTAACTTGATCAGAAGAGAAACACAACAAAGTAACTACGAACTAAACGTGAGAATAATAAATGCATGTAAATTCATCAGAAGAGAAACACAACAAAGTAACTACGAAATAAACGTGAGAATAATAAACAAATGTAACTTAATCAGAAGAGAAACACAACAAAGTAACTACGAACTAAACGTGAGAATAATAAATGCATCTAAATTAATCAGAAGAAGAACACAACAAAGTAACTACGAAATAAACGTGAGAATAATAAACGCATGTAACATTATCAGAAAAGAAACACAACAAAGTAACTACGAAATAAACGTGAGAATAATAAACG